TCCCCCCTTTCTCCCTAATCCACATGTTTCTAACCAAAGTGATGGTCTAAGTGCTATGTAAATTTTCATACTTTTTACTTTAAAATTGTTTTAAATAAATTGAAATATTTGTCTTTTAAAGTTTGTTCTCTAGTTGTGCTAAACCCTGCTTTTTCCATGTAAATTGAGTATTCATTGTACCATAGTCCAGTACCAATTTTCCCTGCTATCTTCTAATCTGCCCACAGAAAATTTCTAAGAGCAGTGGAAGATTCCCACCATTAAAACAGGCTTCTTCTATACTGACCACTAATGCAGGCCCAATATAGCATCTGGAATATGGATCGGACTCACATGGTGTCCAGACAGGCTTCCGTAGAAACTGTAAGAAGTCTTGAGTAGCTAGCTGTTGCAAGCATGGTTTGGAGCCACTGAGCATCCATACTAGGGGTCTCTCCACCCTTCATGTCCCCAGCTGCAACTACCGCCTAGCTGGTCTCACTAAGGAAGCTGGAAGAGGGAAATCCCTCTGTCATGAATTACTTTTCAATAACTTTAAAGCATAGGTTCCTTTTATTGCAATTTCCAGTGTGAGAGGGTATATCAGATTATAGAAAATAATTGACATTGGACATACAGACACACAGATTCTATGCAACTACATTGGATTTACAATTACATTGGTTAACAAACAAATACAGGGGAATTACATTTTCACTCAACATTCACACACATGTACATATATTCATCCTCAGGCATTCAAATATTACCATATCATTTTCTCCCTCCTTGGAGAAGCACCTGTTAGGCCAGACCCTACTTTCCCATAACTTCCATAATACCATAACTTAAAAACACCAAAATGCCAAAACTTCTTCCCTAAGAACAATGCCAAGGACCAGATCTCTGTTTTCCACCCCTACACAAAATCTAAGACTCCAAAGTGCATTTCTTCCTCTTTCCTTGAGAAAGAAGCCCCAAAGTGACCAGACTGCTCCCTTGCAAATCTGCCACTCCATAGTACACCATCTCTCTCCTTCCCATGGAGCAGAGCATTGCGGGTGGAACAGACTCCTCAGGTCTGCCACACTTTGAGAATTATTAGATTGAGTCTTTTATAGGAATACTCTGCTGATATAGTCTCAAAGTTGTAAATTAATTATAGATGTCTTCCATCCTGGATCCATCTCAGTTTCCTGGCTAGATGTTGATCTTCTTGATTGATGCTGATCAGTTATATTGACTTCCTTCATAACATTGTAAACATTTCTGTTATCACTGTTCCAATTCTTATCAGAGTTTACTTATCAGATCTTATTAGCAACTTTTAATTACAGTCCAGCAAGCAGGTAGTTAGTCATTGCAGGCCTTAATATTATACTGGTGTCTCCAAAATTATTAGCTCCATCCATACATTCATCTTCCATTCTTCCATTCATTCCCACACATCACATTAAATTCACATTTATCATATCTGCACATTGAATTTCTTGTGACACCTCCTCTCATCCCACTCAACATTTGGACCTTCTGGTTAACATCAGCCAGAGTGCCAAAGAATAAGGTAGGTGGGTGTCATGCCTGAAGACAGACACAGAATGGGGAAGTGGGACAACAGGTGCCTGCTATCTCATGTCCCCATGCCATCTGAACCTAAGGAATATGGGATGGTGATAAAGACAGTTGTGGCCAGTTCTGTTTAGGAACCAACCCAACTGTCTTCATCCCCCCGCCCCACTTAACTCATGTAAAGTATTATATCCTATTTATGTAGTACAATATGAGGTACTACTTAAAGCTGTTCACTATTCTCCTACAGAAGACCTAAGTCAAATATGGAAGAACCATGCTTATTTTCTACAATATACATTTTTGCCCAGACAGAAATCAGCTTTTGGAGCAGACTCTCATCTTGGAATAGAGTCAGCCATCTGATCCACTGATACTGCATCCATGAATTCAACCATCTATGACTTTTAAAATATCCAAATAAGAAATCCAAAAAGCAAATCTTGATATATATTTTTGTCATTTTATATTGGGCACACTATTTTAGTACAAGATTGGATATAATTGGTCTTGAGCATCCACAGATTATGGCATCCACAGGGAGTCCTTGAACCAAAACTCCAAATCTTGATTTTTGTCATTTTATATTGAGCACACTATTTTATTACAAGATTGGATATAATTGGTCTCAAGCATCCACAGATTATGGTATCCACAGGGGGTCCTTGAACCAAAACTCCAAATCTTGATTTTTGTTATTTTATATTGAGCACACTATTTTATTACAAGATTGGATATAATTGGTCTCAAGTATCCACAGATTATGGCATCCATGGGGGGTCTTTGAACCAAAACGCCCACAAATAAGAGGAAACCACTGTATATCATGTTCTAGTGATCATATGCCATAGGAAAGGAATCACTGTCCCACAGTACTGATTCCCAAATAGTCAAACCCTGGTTATAACAGGGACTCTTTCCAGGACCGTAGCCAGAAAAAAATTTCGGGGGGGAGGGGGTTCCGAATCATGAGAAGTAGTTCCATAACACAAAATAATTTAAATAGTATGATTCATTCTATATTTTATATAAACTTAATTAAATCAATTTTCTCGTCTCCTTCATGGAGGGCTTTAAATCCCTCCCATGCCTTAGGCTTTGCCTACCAGTTGTGGATAGGCCAACTTGGTGGCTTCCACTATATCAGCTATTGCTGCAAGTGATGACTGTGAATAAATTTTCAAAATTTGCTTGAGATAGTGCTTGGAGTTCTGGAGGGACTTGTTTAATTTTGCTTCTCATCGACCTAGCAGGGGGATTTAGTTAACCAGTTAAAATTCATGAGTAGGATCATGGTGAGATAACATCTGATGGGTCTCTTTGTACCTCATCAGATAGACTTCTGTCTCCATTTCCTTGCACTTAGGAAACAGCCCCATGGGAGCTCTACAGAAGCCATCACATGACATAAGGGCACTCCTGGTGGGGCTCTCTTTCCTAAGTGCACGGTAAAAGTTGGGGGAAAGGACGTGGCTAATGGGATAGGCAGTTCCCTCCACTTTCTTCCACTTTCCCCCTACCCATCTGATGAAGTCCATAGGAGACTCATCATATTGGAATAGTCATCCAGCACCTGCTCTTGAAGGCTTACCCTCCAACATTTCATAGATGAAAGCCAGGATAGGTATGGCTCAGTGATGGTACATGGAGAGGGCAAAATCTATCCACCCTGCTCATAAATGATACACCATGTGAGTAAAATGTACAATATTAAGAATATTCCCTTGCCATATGTTCCTCCAACCTGCTGCCCTTTTCTACTTTTCTTCTGTCCTGCCTCCAATATCAGGAATGAACTCAGCTAGGAAAAAAAGAATGACCATGGAATTTATTGGAGAAATGGATGAAAATTCATTTTCTCTCTCCTATATGCCCTGCTGCTGCTTTCTAAATGATGGTGGCAGATGTTTAAAGAAACAAGTTCACATGCCCTCAGTAGGGAGTTGTGGCTCTTTTGGTTCCATGAGTTATTATGAAAATAAATTGGAAAGTTTCAGGTCATTTTAGCATAGGTAAAG